CTCAAGAGGACGCTGACCACCAAAGTAAAATTCAAAACCCCATATAGACCACTCGATTGCTAAATATCTTTTTAATCGCCTCAAAGAATATGCTATTGTGTTGGAGCTGCTGGAAATAAATTTCATCTCATTTTATCCTTTTTAAAAACGCGGGCAAAGCAGTTTGTCGTTTCACGTAGAGAGGGCGAAAAACTTGCATCAAAGTAACTGAAGCTTTAATTTGAAACATAAAGCCTGATGAAATTTTCACTACTAAATAAACAATCCTTCCGGATCAAAACGCTGTCAATAGTTTCTTGCTACGACAACTAGAGGCGCTACAGTAATTAAAAAGAAGTGGCCAAATACTAACTGAAACAGACTTTACATAGTTGGTTGGAAATGCTAACATGAAGCTTTAGTATGATGATTTATTAGCTAGAGAATGGATCTTTAGAAGATGGTAGGTGGATAGTTCCGTTAGAGTACGGCAGTATGAAAATTGAATAGAAGTTGAAAATGAGCGAAGGGCCATTAATGCGACAGTTTTTTTTTTTAAAGATCGACGCACATTTTTGCCTAACCCGTACGATGTACGCGGGGACTTGAAGTATGTCTCCAAGTCCACAGGGAAAAATGTGCGTCCCTCTTTTTGCTAATAAACTGGCTGCGGCTGAGGAATAGTTCTAGCGACGTTTTCATCACTACCTAAAGCCCCACGTTTGCGAGAGCATTTCCAGTCGATGGTGTGTTATAATGCAGTTCTTCTTTACCCAACTATTGTGTTGCTCCTCTCGTCATGACCAACGTGATCATCTCAGAGAGAAAGCAGTAGGGTGGTTGTTGCGTGCTGTACCATCATCAGCATTGTTGACGGCTACTCCCGCCTTGAGTTGTTACATTCAAAGTGTTTTTTTATGTTACTGCTTTCTCTCTGAGATGATCACGTTGGTCATGACGAGAAAACTGTAAACTGTCGCATTAATGGCCCTTCGCTCATTTTCAACTTCTATTCAATTTTCATACTGCCGTACTCTAACGGAACTATCCACCTACCCTCTTCTAAAGATCATTCTCTAGCTAATAAATCATCACACTAAAGCTTCATGTTAGCATTTCCAACCAACTCTGAAAATCGCTAGCTTCGCGTATGAAGTAACATAAAAAACACTTTGAAAAGACTTTACATATTTTTAACTAGCTTTCATTACGTATTTTGATCTTTGAAATCGGCCCGGTGGTTTAAAAGCTATGAATTAAAAAAAACAATTTTTGGACCACCGTTACATTCAAGTGGTCACCCTCATGAAAAAAATACGGCTCTAATATTTGTATTTTTAATAACCTTTCATTCGATATTTTGATTTTTTGATAGAATCAACAAAATGTATGTTTGTTAGCTGAGTTCTCGGAAAAAAATTCAAGTGTGTAGAATCATAAATATTTCTTGATGCTCGAAATTCTGACCTTTTTCTTAGAACGTGACAACAATAATTAAGTCAGAGATCTAAAATGAATAGCGATGTTCCAGAGTTTCGAAAATTTGTCACGTCCATGTTAAAGAATCTAGAAATTGTATCCATGTTTACGATATTGAATTTACGTACTGCGTATACGCCTTTTTAATGCACCACCAACGTAGAGTGCGCCACGCGAGTTCGAGAAGAAACGTCAACCAAACCGTTTGTTTACATCAGAATAAGTATTTTCCCCAACGTAAATAACAGCATTTTTCATTCAAAATCTTGCCAATTTCCATCGGTAATTGTCTTATTGTACGATTTTCCACAAATCTGAACTGATTTGCACCTTAACTATTCACACACAAGAAATTCGGAAGATCACTAAGGCACTTTTCTAACTTTCCATTTTTCTCAACAAAAATATTCCTGAACACCAGCAGGATCTTTTCAAAAACGTAACAGAATTAAATTTTTCAACTGTAGATTAAGTTTTGCAGCATCTCAGATGAATCAATTTATCAGGAAAAGTAAAAAAGTTTTCCGCTTCCTATGTCTCAAGGCAAACATTTATGCTCACAACACTATTTTTGACGTTCTCCTATTCACCACCAGAGGTTGAATCGATCGTTTAGTTTCTATTAAAAAGGCCTATTCTCACTGTTACGCTTTTCAAAAATATCTGGTCAGATAATCATGACCAGTTTTCTTGGACCAGTGTTATCAGTCAAAGTTTCAGAATCCTGAAAAAAATAATAATCTTAATCTTAGAATCGAATTTCCGTGTACGGGATCTTGTACAATATCTTAGTTAACTAAGCTATTTTTTGGAACTTATGTCATAATACCTTTGGTAATTTGTCAAAGATTACTTTCACACTGTTACGCTGTTACTGTAACTTTCAGGATTCCCTTAAATATTTTTTGATTCTCTCCGGTAGTTCCTAAAAAGTTTCCCCAGATTCGGAATCATATGCTTTAGGGATGCCCTCCAGCTACTCTGGAAATTTACTCTACTTTTTTTTATTCATATAGAGGAAATGGCTCTAATGTTGGCCTTTGGATCTAAGATTGGGCCCATCGCTAAAAATCTGCTATGTTTCATTTTTATCTAGATGAATCCGTCATTGGGTCGGTAGTAATGGGGAATGGGTCGGTACTAATGGATATTTTTGATCGCTAATGAATATTTAGTCGATTGCTGAAATTATGTATGGGCCCAAATTAGGGGTATTTAGGCCGACATTACATCCATTTCCCCTATAATTTATTGCGAGAATTGCTTTAATTTCTTTCCAAAAGGGTTTTTTTTTATTCTCCTGAAATATTCCTCAGAAATCACTATGTCTTTTAGAATTTAAAAAGTATTCTTCCAAAATTTTCTTGGCCGGTGCCGGTGGTGTAGTGGTAAGCGTGACTGCTTTCAAACACCCCAATGGGTCTGGGTTCAATCCCAGCCGAGGTCGGTGGGTATTTTTCTGAGGCATAAAAATCTCTGGTCACGTCTTCCTTCGGAAGGGAAGTAAAGCCGTTAGTCCCGGCCCATGTGTGTTGAATGGGTGCGATATCCTACGCAGGTGTGGAAGCTGCCTTCCTGCGCATTCGATTGCCGTCAATGGATGGCAATCGATGTCCGTCGGTGATTGGCACTAGATTGCGGAACAGAGACCGACGTTAAATAAAGGAAGGATGCAAAAGTTTCTTGAATTTCACCTCGGAATTGCAAGGGACTTTTCCTCAGACTTCCTTTGAAAATCTTCTGAAAATGGCGTTGAGAGAATCTCTTGGAATTTTTTAGGAATACCATTGAGGTAACTCTAAGACCAGAAGGTCCCGAAGAAACGTGCTCAAATTTTTGGTTCAGCTCTAGTACTATCTTCGGTCCCAAGCTAATCGATTCACCTATCGAAACATTGGAAAATCCACGAACCCCTCATTTTATCTGTCAAACTTTCATAACGAAGCAAAACAATCATAGTGGGGACGTTAATCGATTTGCTTGGGACCAATAGGATAGTAAAGTAGTGAGCCAATTTAAAATCGTTAGTTTTCACCGGTTGTTTTCAGAAGCATTATTCATCTCGAATATGAAACAAGTTTCTTGGCAAAGATAGAACATTGAATAGGAGAAATACGATGAAGTGATGACATTGAGTTGTTAGCGGAATGCTTAAATACAAACAGCAAAAAAAGGTTATCAAATTTCTCGACTTCCTTGGGTACAGGATGGTACAGGCATATAAAGCCCTCAATTAAAATGTGGAAGTGCTTCAAACAACACTAAGTTGAGAGCAGGCAAAAAGCTAATATGGTTTAGGCAATAAGCTTGTAATGCCATGTAGTAGTAATACAAATGGTATTTTCAAGCAATGAAAACAGTTTTTTTATTAATAGCGGATTAGTATTTGGAAACACGGATTTTTTTTGAGAAATCGCGGATTTCGTGGATCAAATTTTTAAGATCTTGTTACAGCCATGGAATTGTAGTTACTTCTAAAAACTCATTTGGCATTTTCATTAAAATTCTCTAGACAATTCTTTAATGTGTCTGAATCCTAAAATTGTATCTTAGTTCAAGATCCACGTCATCCACAATAATAAAACCATGAACATTTATTTCACATTTGAATTAGGTCCTAGGACCAAAAACTGGAGTACTAGTGCCAAATCAGGCACACTTACCCTAATTTGAGAATCTTTTGCGATCTGAGAGCCTTACAAACACATTTCGGATTTTTTTTTCAATTGAAGTGATTTTCCGGTTTTTTTTTTGCCTTAACAGTAAATACCCGTACCAATGATAAATGCTGAATTAAACCTGAAATAAATGTTTTTAAATGTAGTGGCCACCCTGCTTGTTCTAGTTTCTTAAATTCATCGCTTTTACGAATATCCCGGATGACAATGCCTATTCCATGCCACCATGGTCCATATTTGCGTTATAATCTCAAATTCAACATTTAGCCTTAAATTGCAACTACAAGTGTTTTCGAACAGCGGCGCCAGTGTGGTGTAGTGGTAAGCGTGATTACCTCGCACCCCAGCAGGCCTGGGTTCAATCCAGATAGGTCGATAGGTAGGGTCCAGGTGTGGGAGCATTGGTGTAACAAATCAAGGTAAAAAAAGTTTTTTCGAACAAACCGCGGGTCTACACACACGTTGGTATATAGTTTACACCGACCTGTTATGCTAATCCACTGGAAATAACCGATGCTGACACTGTGTCCATGTTTTCGTCCATCAACTTTGGTTTTGGTGGTGGGAGGATTTATGTCGATATATATATAAATCTCCAGCACTGAGCACGAGTAGCCGCAAGGGATTTTTGTTATGCTGTCCCGTCGATTTACCGCACCAGTCCAATATGGAAAGGATGGGGATTTCACGGGATGACCTGCGGTGGTTCCATGACGCGTTTTCGTGGCGGTCATTATTTTTTAGCTTGATGAAATTTCGGGAATGTAGTAAAAGGACATAAACTATGCATAAGTGCAAACAGCCTTTATGTTTCCATAATATCTGAAATTAATTGCTTTGTATTTTCCTTCAATTGCCAAACAGGTACGGGCGACCGGCAAGATGTACGCCTGCAAGAAGCTCGAAAAGAAGCGCATCAAAAAGCGGAAAGGCGAATCGATGGTGCTGATAGAGAAGACGATTCTGCAGAAAATCAACTCCCGCTTCGTGGTGAACCTGGCGTACGCGTACGAAACCAAGGACGCCCTCTGTCTGGTGCTAACAATCATGAATGGTAAGCAATTTCCCGCGAAATCGGTGGTTCATTACTCATCGATTTCCATTTTTAGGTGGCGATCTCAAATTTCACATCTACAACATGGGCGGCGATCCGGGCTTCGAGCTGAACCGGGCGCGGTTTTACGCCGCCGAAGTGGTCTGCGGGTTGGAACATCTGCACCAGATGGGAATCGTCTATCGGGACTGCAAGCCGGAAAATATCCTACTAGACGACACTGGTCACGTGCGGATATCGGATCTCGGACTGGCAGTCGACATTCCCGAGGGGGAAATGGTTAGGGGGAGAGTCGGCACAGTCGGTCAGTTCGCGCTGGAAATGTTCTCCAGAGGAGAGCAAAAACACTAAAGAATGTTCTTACATTGCAGGCTACATGGCTCCCGAAGTCATCGATAACGAAAAGTACGCCTTTTCGCCGGATTGGTTCAGCTTCGGGTGCTTGCTGTACGAGATGATCGAGGGACAGGCTCCGTTCCGGGCGCGGAAGGAGAAAGTGAAACGAGAGGAAGTCGACCGTCGGGTCAAGGAAGACGTGGAAAAGTATTCCCACAAATTCAGCGAGGATGCCAAATCCCTGTGCCAACAGTTACTCATGAAGGCGGTCAAAAACCGGCTTGGTTGCCGGAATGGCCGTGCCGGTGCTCGCGAGGTCAAAAAGAACGGCTTTTTCAACAGTATTAATTGGAAGCGGCTGGATGCGGGTGTGGTGGAACCGCCGTTCGTGCCAGATGTGAGTTTCCTTCCCGGATGTTCCGATATTTCGAATAATGAACTTTGTTAATTTTTTTAGCCCCATGCGGTTTATGCCAAAGACGTGCTCGACATCGAGCAATTCTCGACGGTTAAGGGTGTGAATCTGGATGCTACTGATGAGAACTTCTATTCGAAGTTCAATACCGGTTCCGTGTCGATTCCGTGGCAGAATGAGATGATCGAGACGGAGTGCTTCCGGGAGCTGAACGTATTCGGTCAGGACGAATGCCCGACGCCCGATTTGCTCATCAATGCCCCACCGGTGGTGGAGAAGCCCGGTTGCTTCCCGTTCCGGAGGAAGGTATGTGTCGCATTTCTTTTTTTTTTAAGTTCAATCATTATATGAATTACATCACTCATAATGATATGAAAAATGATGCATATGCGCCTGCGACTGGGATACAGTAATCCCTTCATTTATGCGGTTGTTGGTATCGTCCACCCATCGCTGTTTTTCGGTTGTCCTTCATCCAGTTATGCTGATTTTTTTTTGTATGTCATAAAAGCATGGCCCTCTAAGTAATGTAACAACATGCCCCGTAACGTGGGTAGATCACCTTTTCGTGGTGCGTTACGGGATGTAAGATCTACCACCGATTCCTAGTCCTGACTACTTCAAACTAGGCGAACAGGATTTTTCACTAATCAAAGGAACACATCTTAGTCCTTGTTACTATTTATGCCTTGTTTATAGTGACAAGACTTGGCTTTGTCCACCGAGGATGATCTTGAAACAAGGAAAAAATGAGTTAGTTAGTCTTCATCTATGTGATTCTTTATCTTCTATTCGTTGTTCCCTTGAAGTGGTTAAGACTAGGGTTCTGATGCATGGTCGTTTTTGACTGACAAAGGGGCGCGCTTTTGGAGGGTGTTTCAACACTTCGAAGGGTATAAATAGCGGGACCTTTCAATTAGAGTCGGATCCTTGCGATAAATACAAGAATGGCAACTGCAAAAAAAATCTAGTACTTCATAATTTCTCAATAGTGATGGAGTAATACGACATGCACTAAACTAAGGACACGGTATATACTACAATAGACCAAATTACTGGTCGCAGTAGTGTTAGGTCCCGAACAGACGAAAAAAAATGTTACAACATCAATTTGGGTCTATTTCGGTTTTAAAAACGGTTTTCACTCAAGTGGAAAAAATAAAAATCGAAATATTCGTCGCGGTTTCGAAGGAAATCTCAAACTTTTCCCATCAAGCGGCGCACAACGGTCTCGTCAACTGTTTTGGCGTTTCCATCTGAGCTGCCGTTTTGATGACTGTACCTTTAACCTTCAGTTTCCTCTTCATAATTGCCCAGTCGTTTTTGATGGTCCTGAATTGGGGACAATTGGGCGGATGAACAGGACTTCGTTGTCATTGTACCATTGGTGTACTTCCCGTCACCGTCCATCATTTGACTGGATGAAGGGCAGAATTCGCTTCTGGAGACATTCGGTTTGGTAAATCTCGGAGTTCATCATTTTCTCAGTGACAAAAACCTTTGTATTCTGGCCGCAGCTGCAAATTCATAGCTAGATCATGTATTTGCGGGCAAATTTATCCGCAAAAACAAATTTGAATCAGCCAGGGCACCTTCTCGAGCCTTCACCATGTAAAATTTCGATCCTGAAAACTGTCCGAAGTCGGCCTTTACATAGGTTTCATCATCCATACTTGGGCAGCAGGTTGACATACAGCTTTCGACCACGGGTTCTAGCTATGGTATTCTGCTTGAGTGATCGATTTGGTTGCCTACCGGCTTGGTATGCTTGTAAGCCTTCGCGGTAGCAAATTCGCAGCACTGCACTACGAGCGGCATCATAGTTTTATTCAAATCGCGGTCAAACATAGGGTAGAGAACTACTTCGGCCTAATCGCCCATTTTGGGCCTATCGAGCAGAAAACTTCAAATAAATCCATGTTTTCAGAGCTAACAAGCCAATTATGCGTTTGGTACGATACTTTACACGGATAGAAATCCCCTTATACCTTTTGGCAAATTTCTATTGCTGATTATTCATAAAATGTATAAGTCAACTAATAAGCAGACACCTTGGCAAAATTTAATGGACATCATGTGTCAAATAAAATGTATAAATGGTCACACATACCGTTTATGCATTCTTATAGAACCTATGTGGTTTGTCTTATGGAATGTATAAGGCTGTGTTTTGGCAAAAATGTATAAGTGAAACACATGAATTAAATAATTAAATTTCGTTTCGTGTAGTTAATAAGCTACGGAACGAAGTCAATGAGAACGCGTGATATGAAGGTTTGCACCCATTATTCTCAAAAAACAAAAGAAGTACTCCGACCGAATCAATTTTTATCTTCATCCGATAGGCCGAAGTGAATTCATTGCTGTTTCATTGGCGTTTCAATGCGTTAGGCCGAGTTTAGAATCCGTAGGCCGAGTTTGGCGTCAAGAAGCAGTGTTGGACTTTTGACCAGTGATGGAAAAGTTCGCAAAAAATCACTATGACTCGCGAACTTTTCCCTTGGAGAACTTCGTGAAATATCGCGAACTTTTCCAACACTGCTTTTGAGAATATCTCAACGAAAGATTTCTCTTTATCAAATCTTACGGTACATACGGAAAGGTAAATTAACTTGGAAGCCATCGGTTATAATAGCATTCCGTTTGGTGTTAAACTGCACTAGATTAAGAAAGACTAAGTGCGGGTTGTGCTTAATATGCCGGAAATGAGGTAGTTAACCCTACCTGTGTTGCTTCTGATGGACCTCACGACCTTTCCATGGAGCTGACGGTTGACAGTTCCACTCCGGCGTTTACTTTGAGGCTTTCGATTCGTCGTCAAGGTTTTCTTGTACGTGTTGAGCACGCGCCGTACGGTGTTTCTAGGAAAATTCTTCACTTCAGCCAGCTTGGACGCGGACCAGGATGGATTATCTGCTCCTCTTGCATGGTGACTGTCTCTAAATCAAGGGCGTTTTATGAACTGAAAAAAAATCACTGTTATTGTTATTGTTGTTGTCAACAAATAGACGTCAAAAGCTTCCAAAAACGTTCACTAGGAGCGCTGTAATAAGCAAAAGAGTTTGTTCCATTGCTGTGTGGGTCATGGTTTACATACTTACATCGAAATGGTCGATGGGGGTAATGATGTTCGGGGTAGTGTACCATTTGGGGTAGCGGCGTTCAGGGTAATGGAGCTCGGGATAGTGACATTCGGGGTAATGTCATAATGTGGCTAAAATATTTGAATAGCCTTTACACCAAAACAAAGCATTCCGGGAAACGGTTTTCCGTGAAATGGCGTTCAAACTGGGCGCAGAAATATCGATCTACAAACGTCCATCTTTTACTCTTCACTCGCTCTCGAAGTGATGAAATGTTGCTCGCTCCACCCCTAGAGGTGCCAATGCTTTAAAAAAATCCACTAATTCACAAAAAAATTTGTAAATTTTAAATTACATAAGAAAGTTTAATCCAAATATTTTAGCAATTTTATGACATATTGCTTATGGAAGGGGGATGCGGGCATTTGTTGATTTTATCCAACTCTTGAGAGCAAACGCGAAAAGTTTGTCTGTTGTCAGCTTCAAGCTAAAATATAGTTTATTAAATTAAAGGTTTTAACGTTTTCCCTATCATTCCATTCACAATTTTGGTGAACCAACTGCAATTAAATTAACGAGGTGAGTCGTTGTCGATTCCACACTGCGATTTTTGGTAGGCTAGATTTAGGTTAAGGCAAGATTAGCTCACTAGTATTAGGCTAGTTTTAAGCAATTCCACTTACTTTTAGTGTTGTAAGTTAAGCATAGCGATTAGGAAACTATAGATTTACTCACTTGTATAATTTTAGCGATAATTCAGCAATAAATTTAAGAAATTAGCTGCATTTTGTACTGAACTATATATCAAGAGCCACATGTGAAAAGGGCATACAAGCTTTTTGTAAACAAATCTTTGTATGCCCTTTTCTCGGCAACCGAGGGTCACCCACGCAAGCCAACCTTCCCCTATCCGCTAATGTTGATGGTTTGCGTTGGTGTCATATGGGTGGCGAGAAAAGGGCATAAGAAGGTTTGTTTACAAAAAGCTTGTATGCCCTTTTCACATGTTGTTCTTGAATATGCTGTGCACTGTTCTACCTGTATACTGCTGCCACCGCTCGTACAGGTCTCCGGGAATAGCATCGTCCCAGCCTGTACCTCTGGCCCAGACATCCTGGATTAGGATTTTTCCGTGGACGAGGAAGAACGAGATCACAGCCCTATTGAATCAAATAAAGTCATGACCACTTTGAAGACCTCACGCTTCGTTGGAATGTAACTATGTTTCATGATTGGCTACCCGAGCAAAGTCGGTTAACAAAATGAAAGCAAATCGATATTAAAGTGTGCAGTTCCTATCATAATGAAAACTCATTTTGATTTCAAATGTTGCGACATAAGTCTGATATCATATTGTGCTTTCATTATGCAGTCAAGACGTTTTAAATGAAAGCAACTTAACTTGAAGTTCTGCTGTTTACGTCTTGTTTAAAATTTAATTGAAATTCATCTGTCGTTGAACTAATGAAGTGGTGACTCCAACATTCTCCAGCGCGAAGTAATCGCGCATTTGGTCATGGGTGGGCGCCGCCGCCACGTGAAAGTTGACGACAGCTCGAGAGATTATTTGACTTGGAACGCACCCCTAGATACTCAATCCTCTACGATACTTAGCGCCAATATGATCGTTTTGTCCCCCTTCGCGGAGTTTGAGCGAAACGTAGAGCCTGAGATTATCTAGCCCGATCAGCAGCTTCGGTTGAACAAGCTCGTAGTCGTCCACTGGGAGGCCACGCAGATGAGGAAACTGTTCGGAGAGTTCATGGTACTTCATCGTCTGCGACGGTAGTACTAGGCTAGTTACTGTCCGGGCGTGGATCAGCTTGTACCTATTTGAGTTGCTTTTTCCACTGATCCCAGCTTGAACGACTCTCGATTTTGGTTCTGTTCGCTTCACAATCTCCGTCCGCTGACGAGTGAGTTACAATATTTTCTAAATTTGATCCGCGAAATCCGCGATTTCTCAAAAGAAATCCGCGACTTCAAATACTAATCCGCGACAAAAAAAAAACTGTTTTCATTGCCTTAAAATACCATTTGTATACTACTACATGGCATTTCACGCTTATTCTTTATAGCATATTAAATGTTTGCCTGCGCTCAACTTAATGGTCTTTGAAGTACCTTCACATTTTTATTGAGAGCTTTCTATGCCTGTACCATCCTATACCCAAGGAAGTAGAGAAATTTGCCAACCCGAAAAATTAATAGACCGGACGGGAA